AGGCCACACCCACAGAGTAGGTTCCAAAAATTTTTGAAACCCACCACTGACCTGTACCATTTCTGACACGTGGCTGCCCAGGCTCATTTCAATCAACAACCACAACTACAAGCAGAACACTTTATAAGCTCTGGGAATTTTTTTCCATGGGAGATGGTAGATAAAACATATATCTTGCTATTATCATCAGTGGCTACATAGAAACTACTAGCAAACTACTCATGCCTTTGTAACTGGAGCTACGGTATCTTGACTCTTGTTTGAGTCAAGCTTGACTCAGCAACTTCAGGAACAAGTCTGGGTAGTTTCCTTGTCAACAAGATTTAAGTGGTTTGCCATTTGCCTTATTCTGAAATGTTTTCTTCCAACTCCCCAGTTTAGCCTTCAGATGCAACTATTAATCTCTCGTGAAAGTTCTAATCAGATCTGGCCTTATTTAGCTGCTTAAAATCAGTTAAGGTTGGTTAGATTCTGCTGCTAGGCAGCCACAAATTAAACGGAGGGTTTTTCACAGCACAATAAACACCGAACGCATTTAAATCCTTCCTATGTTTACTAATGATATGGTTCACAGAATTGAAAAAAAGGCAACTGGTTATAGCACCAGTCTTCTAAATGTGAACAGATTCCCCAAATTGGGAACAATTACATAAGCACAGTGTGGTAAATTTTTTAACAGATTAATGCTTTGTGGTTCTCTTTCAAGAATGATAAATGACTGCAACATAAAAGTAATATATCAGATTTTTTAAAAAAATTTAATGCGATAGGATGGTTTTTTTCTGTCCCAGAAAGAACTGCTACCTTTGCTTCTCATTGATAGTTGATTTCGTAACACAACGAGAGAACTTTTAGTCACCAAATAAACAGTAGCCATTGCACATTAGACAAATAACTTGAACAATATTCATTTTAGAAAACTTTAAACAACAAATTATATACAGGCGTTAGATTACTTTGAGGCCTTTTTAGATTCCATGGGAATCTATTTTCCTGGATTCTACAATCCAAGAATTACCGGTAGTTGCAGAATGAGTCCTGATTGGTGATTTTCACCCAAACATTGTTCATTGCAACAGGTTCATTTAGACNCACATTTATTAGAATATGGTGTGGGATTTTTTTTCTTTTGATCCATCCATTAAAAAAAACCCAAGAAGTTGAGCAGAAAACTGTGCCCTTGATGAGGGCTCTGCCTCATTCTTTATGAACATAAAGGATGTGCCTTTGCAATAAATTTCTGACTCATTAAAAGTGTGAAATGCAATAACGCCAAACAAGACACATCATTAAAACTGACAAAACCATAAATCTCATGCCTGTTATATCTGGTGTGCTCTGAATTATTGCGAGATGAAGTTGAGTGTTTATTAATAGCACACACCAAACTTTACAACAAAAAAAATGTTTCCCTGGAAATACATCAATCGGCATGTTTAGATGTTGGGCTAAAACCTTTAGACCAATTGTGTTAGCTCGTTCCTTCTATACCGAGGGAACACTGTGACACAGATTCCATATAGAGGATTTAACAGAAGTCTAAAACCAGGTTTCTCAGTTTCAGATCAAATTGTGTTATCTGGGTTTCACTAATGCTATTTTTTAGGAACTAAAAAGCAAATAAAACTACAGAAACCAACTATTATTAATATCACCTCAGAATGCTAGTAAAGAAGGCATTAATACTGTTACAGGCTCCAATTCCAGAGAAAATCCATCTCCAAAACTTCCTTTCCCATAGTACAATTAAACACATAAAAACGAAGTTAATAACCCTCATTTCCTATGATAGATTTTTATGGGCGTGAATCAGAGCAAAGTACACAGAAACCTAGAGTAAACCAGTATTCAAATGGCACAATTGTTCAAAGTCTGGAATCGAGGGAATTGTGTATTCTTTTATTAGATGGATTAAATTGTAAAGCAACCTACAAACTGGGGAAATCAATAAAAGTACACAGAACCAAATTAGAAGTTTTCTTACCGCTAGAACTCAATATTAGCTATATAGCAGATCCTTATTTGCACAATTCCTATTCTGACATGGAGTTCTGGAATAAAACAGTAATACTGTTTGGATTGCATTAAAAGGCAATCAGGAATTCATCAACGCTTCTGGAGAGCAAGAGAGTCACAACCAGAAATTAAGATGTAAGAATTCAAACAAGGAAAAGAAATGGTGGCGAAAGTGGCTTGGGGAGAAAAACAGAGTTGCCATTTGCCCCTTTGAAATAAGTCTTGGGTGAATTTGAATTCAGAACAGAATCACGGAATTGAAGGTACCTTTGGGGTCATCTAGTCTAACCCACTGCTTAANTGGGCACCAAAGCCAACTCACCTCGGGGCGTCGGAAGTCCGTCCAGCTCCCCTCCGTCTCCCTGTGGTCGTGGGTTTGGCTCCCGGGGGGCGGCAGGCGAGAAACAAACCGAGGAACGTTTCGAGGGGTGGGTTGCCTAAAAGAGCATCCTTGGGTCTTTCCACGGTCGCCGCCTCTCTTTTTTTGCGGTGTCGCTCGGGAAGAAACGCTGCTCCGGTTCCAGCGGCGAGCGAATAGTCAGCGTTCGAGCCTCAATTCCGCGTCGTTGCGCGATCCCGATCAAAAGCAGCCTTTGGCTTACACGATCCGTGGATCGGAGTTTCCAAAAGGAGGCTTTCTTAAAAGAAACCACACGAGATCTCATTTCCTTGTTCCGAGAACAAGCCGGTAGGTGGATAAAAAAGTTAAGCCTCCTTTTCAGCCCTGCTAAGCTGCCAAGTGGCTTCGTGACCCACAAGGATAGGGATCCCCCCCCCCCACACCTCTCCCTTGGAAACGATGCATTCTAGGATTCCCCCCCCCTTCTTCAGCCTACAGCTCGGGTCTGATTCTGCCTAACCCCCCCTCCCGCCCCCCTTTTGAGATCAGACAAAATCGGCTTTTGGAGGCTGTCATCCAGCTATGCTGGATGTGGAACCTAATTCCCTCCCTACCAAGAAAGGCAAGGACTGTCTACTAAATCTCTCCTTTCCCCATTTTTCTCCTTCACCACTTAACAGCATAGCTGGGTGACAGCCTCCGAAAGCCAATTTTGTCTGATCTCAAAAGGGGGGCGGGAGGGGGGGGGAGTTAGGCAGAATCAGAGCCGAGCTGTAGGCTGAAGAAGGGGGGGGGCAAGATATAGAGCCCTCCAACCCCGTCATGGCTCACACAACAAAAGGACTGCTTACTAAACCCTTTCTTGGTAGGGAGGGAATTAGGTTCACTTAACAGCATAGCTGGATGACAGCCTCCAAAAGCCAATTTTGTCTGATCTCAAAAGGGGGGCGGGAGGGGGGGGGAGTTAGGCAGAATCAGAGCCGAGCTGTAGGCTGAAGAAGGGGGGGGGGAAATCCTAGAATGCAGTTACACCGCAAATGCGCACACAACAAAAGCGCGCCTGACTAAACCGCGGTGTCTAAAGCGCGGTGACAAAACCGCGCGACGAATGAGCGACTAATTAGCCCTANGGAGTTCCAGCTCAGCCTTGTAAGGTCTTTTTGGCAGGAGAGGCGAGGGGAACTTCAGCGACGCGGCATTCAGACACGCACCCCCTTTACACGTGGACTTCACTCCCCAAGACCTAACAGCGTTGGAAAAGGTCTGGAGAAGCCCTCAGCCCGGAGACCCCAGGACGGGCATCCTTAAAACCCCAAAGACCCCCAATGTTAACCCCCCCCCCCAGCTTCCCCTCCTTTGATTTCTCTGCCCAAACCAAAATCACTCCTCGGGCTTTCTGTTCCATTGGGTTTACCTCCTCGGGAGCCGCGGGAAGACGCGCGTCTTCTTCTGCAGGGCTCGGCGAGCGTCGGCGGCAGGTCCCGGAGCTGTCCGGAGGGCGGGGGGCTGAAAAACCAGGTCGCTCCCCCGCTCGCTTCACCCCGCCGTGCGGAGAAGGCTGGAGGCTGCGGTAGCGTCTGCCCCACATCAACGCATCACCCCAGCACCACCAGCAGCCTCATGATTCATTGAGTCGGTCCCAGGGACCAGGACCGGCGGGGAAGGCGAGAGGAGCGGAGCGGGTGGGGGTGGGTGGGGGGTGCTTGGAGGAACGCCAGCCGGGCCGGCCTCCCCCCCCCTCGCCCCGCTGGCTGCAACTCCCGAGCGCGGAGTTCAGGGAAGGATGCATGGCTCCTTTCCGAGCCCCCCCAACGCCACCAGCACCTGGGCAAAGGAGGGAGGGAGGGGGAGAAGAGCCACCGGGGGGGGAGGGGAAAGAAAACCCCGTCCGTCTACATGCCAAAGAGGGCGACTCGCCTCTCTTCTCTCCTCCCCCCCCTTCTCCTCCCTCCCACGGGCGGGGCTGGCCAAGGAGGGGGCGGAGCTTGGGGAAACAGGTGACTTCGCTCGAGCTGGAAGGCGGGCAGGTAGAGGCGTCCGCTCCTGCCCTCCTCGCCTCCGGGTCGGGGAGCGTCCCCGGACAACGCCCGAGGAGGAGGAGGAGGAGAAGGGAGGGGGGGGAGGGAGGAGAAGGGAGGGGGGG